AGGAAGGAAGGAAGGAAGGAAGGAAGGAAGGAAGGAAGGAAGGAAGGAAGGAAGGAAGGAAGGAAGGGAAAAGAAAAGTATATGTTAAAATTGAGAGAGCCCATGAGGGTATTTTTTTTCTGGATAATCACTACTTTACCTCACCATTTCCAAAAGAATGAAGCAAGAAATAACCTTGGACCTTATGTTAAAATAATGACAGCATAATTAAAAATGAAGAAAATCCAGCTGGGTTCCAATGGCTCATACCTGTAATTCTAGCTACTCAGGAGTCTGAGATTTAAGAATCATGATTTAAAGCCAGCCTGGGCAGGAAAGTCTGTGGAACTCATATCTCCAATTAACCAGCAAAAAGCCAAAAATGGAGATGCAGCTCAAGTAATGCAGAACCAGCCTTGAACAACAACAACAAACAAAAAAACCCAAATAACTAAGGGACAGGACCCAGGTCCTGAGTCCAAGCCCCAGTACTAGCACAAAAGAAAGAACAAAATATTTGGGAAGCCCTCTGACAGCTCATTCCAGGTGACTTAAGATAGTAAATTACCTTAACTGCCTGATAAAGTTCTTTATTTCTAAATTAACTATGCTTGATACAATTTTTTAAGTGACAAAATACAGAAACTAAGCTATTTGCTTCTAGGTGCATAATAAATTTTTCCTTAAATCTTCTCTCAGTAGAAAATTTGTGTCTGATGGGTGCTGTGAACCTCCATTCATCCTTGTGGTTCTTCTTTGAAGAAGAATCTTGGGCTTTTACCTGGGGTCCTGGGGCTGGAGTGACTTTTTTAGCAAGCATAGCAGGAAAGGGAAAGAGAAAGAGGCAGGGAGAAAGAAAGAGAGGGAGAGAAGGAGAGAGGTAGTAGAGAGAGTCCTCTCCTTGCATGGCTTTGTATAATCTTCATTCTCAATTGGCTATAACCTGCCCCTTCAAACAGCCCCAATGTCAGTTGATTTCCCACAGAATTTATCAGATCATGGGTGTAGTGATTCATAGCTTTTGTTATGGCTAAAAGGGGATTCTAGAGGGTGTTATTTGGTTTAATTTATTGTGGCATGGGCAGGATGTGACCTCTCTGTGCCTCATGGTTCAAGTTGGTAATTACAATACAAACGATGAGCTGGAAGCCCCTGATTGGCGTGGGCTGCTCTCCTAGGGCATCCTGGGTCTGGAGTGCTAGAAAGCCAAAGAGTCTGTAATAAGCCTGTGACCTAGCTGAGTGATTACAGGGGTAACCTGAAGAACTTGCTTCCTAATTGCATCATCTGATTCATTTATCACAACACAGTATCTCGGTGCAGTGACAGGACTATGCATAAGTATCAGATCTGTATGACCCAGCACGAGACTGCTGCACTTTGCTCCAAAGGAAACCCGATGCCTATTACATTAGAGCTGGATTCTGAGAGTAATTAAAGTGTGATGGTCTACGTAACTTGTGTTTTATATGGAACACTGTTAATTATATTTCCATCTCTTGGGACTATTCAGAATGAGTCCTGGAAATTCTGTACTTACCATATATGCATACATACATATGAAACATAAATTCATAAAGCTGTATATATATATGTTTGACTTTAAAATCAAAATATGTTTTCAAACCTGTTTAGTTTTAAGGTTCACCTTCTGGCAGCCGTTGGTACATGGTTGTCTGCCAGAGTCGGTGGCCCCCAAATAAATCGAGGTAGTTGCCCCAGTCTGTCACTTACTGTGCAGACTGAAACTTTCAAAAGCAGATCGTCTTGTGTTTTCCTTGACAGCACAGACACCGGGAGACCTTAATCCGTAGCCTCAGAGCTGACCTTAGAAGCTGATGTCACAAAAAACAGTGAAAGCCATTTGCTAATTATGCAGCTTTCTTGGCACTGTTTCATTTCCCAAGGCTGGCCCTGAATCAAGGATGTTATGTTTTCCCGTTACAGTTCTGTTTATGGAGTCCAAAAAGCTATTGTTTGGAGTCCACATTTGAATGAGAAGGCTGGCTGGGTGGCAGGATGGCCCTGTGCTTGGCTGCTGAGCTGTGCTGCATGCCAGGGCCTGGGGCACCTTGGTTCCCATGCCCTTGGTGCACTTGTTCATGTCTCATGCGCCTGCTGCAGCCACCCCAGTGGATCTAGGGGATCTGCTCGCCCCTCTCTCCCCCATAGATCCACCCCAAGGAGGAGCAGGGCCAAACTGGAGCAGGGCCAGGAGGCAGAGTGAGTTTTGTTTTTTTATTTAGATCTTAAATCAGAGAAAATTCCTAATTAGCTCTTCTTCCTAGAAGTCTTCATGACTTAAAAAATAGTATTTCTGTGTCTAGTAAGGACTTAAGAATAAAAAGTCCCCAGACCCTTCAGTGTCCTCTATAGGAACAGGATTGCTTTTTCTTTATTTTCCACATAGCAGTCAC